GAAACTCTTGTCATTCATATGCAAATTGGTATGAGTGTCTACAATTCTTCTAATGGAGGGGTTGTCTCATGACTTACATTCTCAACCAGATGATGACCCCTTAAAGCAGACTTCTGTATTATTTGTGGGACCTGAATAAGACTACAGAGATTCTCCATTTTATTCCCACACCTGGTATTGGCCCGCACTTAAAGATGTCTCACTGCTAGCCTGCACATCCAAGCTCAGTCTACATGCCCCTCACACACAATCAGGGCCTAGAGTGTGTACATCAATCACACAGTTCACTCTCATGAATATAGACCTGGGTTCAAGTCTTGTGTAGGCCCTGGAAGTGGGCTCAGAGTTATTTGGTCTAGGAAATCCAGAGCTCTGGGTTCCTAGAGCACAGCCTAGAAGTGTGTGGGTGCGTGGGTCAGTGGGGGCTCACAGGTTCCAGGTGAGCACTTCCTAGATGCCCTTGGACTCCTCATCCCACAGGAAGGGATGTAGCCAGAGGAGGTAAGAGGGGAGCCTTCTGCCTAGGTTTAAGCCAATACTGGTATTCAGTACTGGTCCTGAAATATCTCCTGTACGGAAGTTGAGGGTCTTGGAAGAGTTAGCCCCATATTAGAGCTGAAGAAAAAGGCCACTCACTGTAGGGATGCAGTAGAACCTAAGTTTTCTGACTTCTAGTCTAATTATTTTTCCACTTAATCCACAAAAGGTGTGGTATGATAGGGTCTTTATGACCTAGATTCAGCTCACCTGGGTATGATTACATCTGGCTCTTAGGTTATATAGAACATAGATTTAAGGGAAGAAAGGAAATAATTCACCCTGTGGTGTTTCTTCTCTGATATGTATTGGATGTATTTAACCAGAAAGAATCTTGAAAGTTCATATAAGATTTGGATAACTGGTCTTTATATAAAATGCTGTGGGGAGTTTAAGGAGATGTGTTCCTGGGAAGAGTGGCTAGTTCATAGATTTTTTTTTTTTTCTTCTTGTTTTTTCCTGCCTGCCTCCTGAAGAATTTTTCTACATTGAATCTTGTTCAGCATAGCTCGGGGAGAGTGCTCAATATTTAAAATGAGAAAAAGGAAGAATATTTTTCATAAAACAAATAATCATCCCTCTAATTGGCCTATTCTGATAGTTTAATTTTAATTATAATATTTGAAGAGAATCAATATTTGTATTGCTGTGTTGACATTGTTACATCAAGCAGGGTTGTGCCTGAAGGAGCTTATGATACAAGGATTTCTGGTAAGTTTTTATTTTGAATCCAGGGTGTGCACTAAGGACCTCACACATTTTCCTTTTAGTGTTCCATTGGTTAAGCCTATTGGTAAGAATAAAAAATATCAGATTTCAAACTATTCAATAACATGAGTATTAAAAAGGACTGAGAGGCAGAAATCATGCCTTCTTTTCTCAAATACTCCTCCTCCAATCATGTCCTACCTAATCTCTCCTACCCACTCTACCCTCTGCCAGGATGCAGGCTTGTGTCCTCATAACCTGTGGTTTCCTGGCTCTAGCTCAGAGGAACAACTGCAGATGATTCCTACTGAGTCAGCCTGGGAAGTGGAAGGTGGGCAAGGTTTTTGAGACTAGGGAGGGGAGATTTTTCAAGAATAGCAAGTCAGCAGTGTCCCTACCCTTCCAAATCAAAGTGCTATTTGCTTCTGCTGTCACTGCTCAGTGCAGGATGGCTTGGGTTGTGCTGTCAAGAATGTAGGGACATGACCTAGAGTGTCATCAGTATAAGGACTGCGGTGCAGAGGACTCTAGAGATACCTCTAAGGAGGCAGTCTCTAGGGGATATCCTCAGGTGGGGTAGACACCAAGTAGGAGGCAAGATGGGGTTTCCCATTCTTGGGGGCTTTTTTCACTAAGTGGGGAGTCCCCTTGCCCCTTCTCCTCCCTTTTAGGTTCCCCCAAAGGCCACTGGCAGTCTCTGTCAACTACATTTGGCTTACAGAGGATTCTGTCCTTTGAGCACAGTCTCCCACTCTCTTGATCATCAATGGGCAAACCACAACAGTGGGGAAGCTGAGTCACCAACACATGATGTAGGGCTGGGAGGTGAGGGGAACCACACTCCACTGGGTGACTTTCAGACTCCTGTACCTTTCCTTCCATATTTAGTGCTTCTCCCTCATGGCTTTCTCCACTTGTTCCTTGTCTTTAGGGATTGTGTGTTTCTGTGTTGGAGAAAGGATGTTTCCCTCTGCATACATACATATCAAAGGGATTGATGCTTTAAGTGTTTTTTATATGGGTGTCCAATGTGTTCCTGGGTGTGGTGGTGTGAGGAGTTAGAAAGCTCAGAAATGGAAAATATTTAATGTTCAGAGTAGCAGATGAATACAGCTTGCCAATTTGCATTTTGCCTTTCACTTTGACTCATCTTCCCCTCTCCCCATCCTCTTGCCCCTCCAGCAGCCTCAGCCATTGACACACCCTGTCTGATCTAGGAAGGGTATCACCTGCCCGCACCCAAACTAAAATGAGAGGGAAGGCACATTAGGTCTGCAAGGAGAGAATAGGAAGCTGGTCTGAACATTCTGGGGACCTGGAGCCAAAGGAAGAAATGGGAGCTTGGAGAAACAACATTTGGGTCTAGGTAGGGGACCAGGATCTAAGGGAGAAGCCTAGGGAGAACCAGACTGTGTCTTGTCACCAGAGCCACCTATCAGCACCTGACTTGTTTATTGTCCAATTATTTATTGCATATATATGATATGCTGGGGACATATCATAAATACCTCATCAACATTTGTTAAATGAAGGAAAAATTTGCTACAGGTTCAGGGATAACAGAATAATAAGAAACAGAAAAATAAATGTGAATCTCTCAGACCTCATCCCTTCCTCAGATTAAAGAATGCTAAAGTGTGAAAAGAGGGGGAATCTCCAGGGACCCTGACACGTTGGGCAGGAAGTGAAAGAAACCCGAGTCCTGATTTCAGAGAAATTTCATTTGTCATCAGCCCAAGAAAAGGAGGTTTTCTCTTCGAAGACCACCACAGGCACTTCCTGGAGTTGCCCCCTTGAAAGCTTGATGGGAGGATCTGAGTCATTCACACACTCAGTCCTCAGTGGTGGCCCAGATGACAGGGGTCATTCCCACAGAGCAAACGAGGCTTCCCAGTACCAAGTCAGTGAGAGTGAGTAGGCATGCTTTTGGCTCTTTCACCCTCCCCTTGGAATCCAGATTTTTTCAGTCCTTTTTTCTTCTGAGGTAGTAGAAATAGCTTCCAGCTATTACAGCTCTATTGTCACCTTTAAGAAATACAACTAATACCATTTGAATGGTACAATGTACTTACAAACCATTTTCACAGTCATCATGTCATTTCATCTTCACCCCCACCTCCAAACGAGGTAAGCAGAGATTATCCCTATTTCATGAATGAGGTAACTGAGTCTCAGAGACTGACTTGCCCGAGGTGACTCAACTCGTAAATGGCAGAGATGAGACTCAAATGCAGTTCTGATTATTCCAAAGTCGTTATTCCTATAGATATACTTCTCTGATTCTAGGGGTTCACAAATGAAGGAGACAGGAGGTTAGGAGGAAGAATGTCTGGGTTCTGGAAGTAGAGGGGCCAGTCTCTTGCAGGCGTAAAGCAGAGCCAGGGATATAAAACCACACCCCTTTGGGGGACTGTGGCAGACTGATACTTGGGACATCCAATGGAGGACTGTGAGGTCAGGGGCGGAGCTAGCTCCTGGGGGGGCCCCAGGAGCCCCACAGCAGTTCAGAGCATGCGGTGTCCAGGAGGAAGCTACAACTGGTGAGTGGTTGCTTCTCCCCAGCTGAGGCTTTCCTTCCATTATACCCCTCTTTCTGTCCACCCCCTGCCAATGTGTAGCCCTCTTTCCCTGAGATATCCAAATAGTAACCCTCCCTCCACAAGGGTCTTTACTCACAGTGAGCCTGTACCTAGGAATATGCCGGGTGCTAAGACACATAGGTTCTGTTTCTCTTTATATCTGGGCTCCCAGTTCTTCTTAAAAGCCAATGTGATGGTTTTGATGTGTGATAAACTCCTGCCTTGTTGGATTCTGTCTTTCTACTCTTTACTTTTTGGCTTCTGAAAAAACAAAATTAAACTATCTCCTCTTGAGATACCTTCTTGAAATAGCCTCCCTCTCTATAGTTTTCATTTCTCTTTCTCCCACTTCCTAGAGGGTCATTTCTGCTCCAAAACCTCTCTCCATCACTGGGTCAGGAGACGTTTCTCTTGTGGCTTCGGCACCTGCTCTTGAATCACTGGATGGGAGTCTTTGGTCTCTTCCAGTTCTTTCTTTGAGGATGTGTTCTAGAAGCTTCAGCCTCAGGCAGTTGGCTGATCAATGCCCTTAGAGCCTGCCCTCCTGCAGCCATGACCCCCGTCTTGCTGCCCTCTCCACCTTTCAGGCGTGATGGGCTCCACATGATTGGCTTATGAAAGGAGGACCCATTAGCTTTCTAAGTTCTCCCAATAAGCTGTCTTGCTCCATTCCTAAATGTTAGGGTTGACTGGATTTTATGGCAATCTCTTTGTCTGGAATGAGACAAAGCCTAGCAAGCCTGGCCTGCTCAAAGGTTTTTCCCTGCACAGGGGCTTGAAGAAGCAGAATTATCAATGTCTGCTATTGTTTAAGTCAGAAATTGCCAATTGGCAGGCCCCACCTATACGAGTCTTAAATCCATTACTTGATATTTTTGTTAACTGCCTGGCCCTTGCTCTTTAAGTCCTGAATTTGGTCTAATTTCCATTCTCTGACATCACCATCCCCACCCCTGGCTCCTGTTATGATTCTGGATAATCTCAGGTCCTCTTTTGGGTTACTTCATTTGCTCCATTCAGGACAGAGAGCTCTGATCTAGGACCAGCAACTCACTCTTTCTCCCCTCATCTCCACAGGCTTGAGAATATGCTGTTCCTCCCTCCCCTTTCTACCATGGACCCAACATTGTGGCCTTTCTCTCAGAGCTTCTGAGATTAGTACCCAGGAAAGGCACAATGCCATCGCCCCCCACAAGACTGCCCAGCCCCTATGGCTCTGATCGGCTGGTACGGCTAGCAGCCAGGCTCCGGCCAGCTCTATGTGATACACTGATTACTGTAGGGAGCCAGGAGTTCCCTGCCCACAGCCTGGTGCTAGCAGGTGTGAGCCCCCGGCTGGGCCGCAGGGGCCGGTGGGCTCTGGTAGAAGGGATCAGCCCTTCCACCTTTGCCCAGCTTCTGTACTTTGTTTATGGGGAGAGTGTAGAACTGCAGCCTGGGGAGCTGGGGCCCCTTGAGGAGGCAGCCAGGGCCTTGGGGGTGCAGGCCTTGGAAGAGGCATGCAAGAGGGCTCGAAGGGACAGGCCTAAAGAAGAGCTGGATCCAGGGCTGAAGAAACATCAGGAAGAGCCAGAGAAATCCATGAGGGATTCTGAGAGAGAACTGGGACTTGGAGAGAAGCGACAACCAGAGAAGTTTTTTAGAACTGATGGAAGAGAACACGAGATGTTGCACAAGTACAAGCCACCAAGAGAGAGCACTGACATGGCAGAGGCAATGCAGGAAGGCCAGGAGAAGCAGATGAGATCAAAGGAGGAGAAACTCAGCCAATCCCCTGTTGGTCACAGGGGAGCAGATGGGAAGCAAGGAGTGGTCATGTGGGTGAGGGGGAGTCCAGCGGGCTCTGAGGAAAGTCTGCGGGAGTTCCCTGGCCCCATTCCCCCACCAGGTTCCCTCCAAACCAGCATCATCCCCAGGCCCTGGTGGGCTGAGGCCCCTCAGTTGGGAGAGGGCCAGCCTGCCCTGTGGAGCATCCTGCTGTTGCCGCCCAGATATGGCACTCCTTTCTCCCATAGCACCCCCATCACTGGAGCCTGGCAGGAGGTCTGGCCTCGGGATCAGAGGTGAGTGAAGGGCCTAGAGGAAGGCCTCCAGGCTGGGAGAGAGTGGTCCAGGAGAGGCAGCCGTGATGGGTGGAAGGGTATCCCATCTCTTATGTCTACTGTACATTTCCTGAGCTAGGGATGGGACAAGAAGCTCCCACCACAGGGGAAGCCAAAGCCAGCCCCTGAGAACTCAGGACACCCCTCTCCTCAGGAACGGGCCAGGGTTGGCCACGCTGTAACTCTTCCTCACCCTACCTCCAGGATCCCACTGTCCTTAAACCCCCACAAAGGACTCTGGAGCCAGAACCAGCTTGCTTCCTCCAGCTCCACTCCAGGTAAGCCCCGCACTGTCCTGCACACACCCCATAACATGTTCTCTCCTCTAGGGCTGGAGCTCCAGAAGTCCAGCCTGAGCAGGGACCCTACCTCACTCTGCTTCTTCCAGGTTCCCTCCCCCAGGGTCCCACTCAGTCCAGCCCTGGGGAGATGGAAGAGTCTGATCAGGGGCACACAGGTGACTAGGGTGAAGACACTTTTGCTTCAGCCCCACTGTAACCCCTGATATCTTGCCTGGGTGTTCCAGCGATTTGACTCTGGGGAATCACTTTTTTTTTTTTTGGCCCTGCCCTCCTTTGACTTCTCTGTCACTACAGGTGGGCTTGCAAACTGTATGGGTGATGAGGGCACAACAGGCTACCCATCTCAGCAACACCCTCCTGCTCGGTCTCGGCCCTATTCTTGTTCTGTCTGTGGAAAGAGGTTTTCACTCAAGCATCAGATGGAGACACACTACCGAGTCCACACAGGTATGGGCGCCCTGCCCAGTGTGAATTGTCTGCTTCCTTCCCAACTCCTGTCTGCCTGCTCCTGAGTCTCTCTCTGCGTGCCTGGCTCCCGCACAATTCCTTTCCTCTGTCACCTGATCTACCGCTAATTTGGCCAGCCTTCGCCCCCTTTTTCTTTCCTTCACTGGCCTCCCCCTCTGCCTGTCCTAGGAGAGAAGCCCTTCTCCTGTAGCCTCTGTCCTCAACGCTCCCGGGACTTCTCAGCCATGACCAAGCACCTGCGGACGCATGGAGCCGCTCCCTACCGCTGCCCTCTATGCGGGGTCGGCTGCTCCAGCCTGGCCTCCATGCAGGTCCATATGCGTGGCCACTCTCCCAGCCAGCTCCCGCCCGGATGGACCATTCGCTCTACCTTCCTGTACTCCTCCTCCTCCTCCTCGAGGCCGTCCCAGCCCTCGACCTCTCCCTGTAGATCCTCTTCCTCCACCACCTGACGGGGTGTCGGTAGCTTCTTTGGCCTCAGCCAAGAGTCCAATTAAAGAATGAAAGGCGGGCCTGCTCGGCTTCTGACCTGGCACCGCTGCTACGGTGGCCTAGAAAATTCTGCTCCAGAAGCACCTCTGGAAGGGCACCGAGAGCTCTCTCCCAGATGTCCGCGGGTCGCAGAAGCCTGGGTCAGTGAGCACAGGTGGGCGAGGGTACTGAGGTTTGCACGAGTGAAGGTTAACTGTATACGGGGGCTGTCAATTGCATAATCAGAATAAAGAGTTTCCTGTGCTCTCCTCTCAGGACAAGAAAGCCGAGTCCAGACTTTAGTCTGTGTGCAGGGGTGGGGTGGGGGCAGCCTTGCCCCCTTATCCTGTAGTGTCCCCTGGTGACCGTACGTCCGCTGTCCAGCAGGGCGACACTTTCTCCATATCCCGGGGCACCCCGTTCTCCCCCGGAGGCAGCCGGCCTCAAGGCTCGGTGTCCGGGCAAACTTCGCAGCAGGCCCTGGGGTGGGGGGTGGGGGTGCTATGAGACCCCCAAGTCATTTGCCCTTTCCACAGCAATCCACGGCGCGCGGATTCTGATCGGGGCGCTCCTGGCCCCAAGCTAGAGAGGAAAGCGTGCTCCGGATCTACTTTCGGCCAGCCGCCTCCTCTTTCTAAGCACAGGAGCCCTGAGACCGCAGCCTCTCCAGCAACTTACCACCACGTCCCGCGGAACAGCCTCCAGGTCGCGCCTGGAACTGAAACGAACCCTTTGCCACCGCCCCTTCCCCTGCCCACGCCTCCCGCAGCCACGAACTTCATTTCCCAGTGTCTCCCGGGTTCCTGGGGTCCGAATCTCGCTGCACTCGGGGAGTCGTAGTCCAAGCGGGCCCTTAGCTCAGACAAGAACAATGGGAGGAGCCCGGAGCGAGGACCACACCTCCCGGAGACCCGGGAACTAGCTTTCGGGTCCTGGTCGGGGAGCCAATAGTCCCAGCTCTAGTGCTTCAGCTCCCGGCGGAAGGAGCGAGGAGTATGGACTACATTTCCCGGAAGCCCCTGCGGCTCGCCCCTCTCCGGCCGCGACACGGGGTCTACGCTCTTCTGGCGCAGTCTAAGGGTGACTGCCGACCAGCCTCGGACTCCCGTTCCCGTGGTGCCCCGCGCGTGGCGGGCTCCGGCGCTAGTTGTTGTCGTGAGCCGCAGGTGCTCCGCCCCGTCTGTCCTCTCCCTCCCCTCCCCCGGCCCTGCGCACGGGCCGCC